GTCTGTCTGTCTGTCTGTCTGTCTGTCTGTCTGTCTGTCTCTCTCTCTCTCTCTCTCTCTCTCTCTTTCTCTCTCGGTCTTGATCTCACTTCCCCTTTCTCTCTATCCATTACATGCCAACGTACACAGAAACTTGCAAAATCTCAGATAGAAATGGACATACAAACAAACGTACCCGATCACACAAGAAGCGGTCTATGTATGTGTATATGCCAGAATGGAAAATGGATCAGAATGTCCCAAAAATAATTTTGTTGCCCTATGCAACCTTGCAGCAGCCTAGTCAAATATATGTTCCACTACAAGGCCACAAAAGCACTTATAATATAGGGCAATATTCACTTGCCGTATGGCAACGAGTATTTTCCAATAATGCTGTCTTCACTCTTTCATCTCTTTTCAGCAAAAGTAACGTCATATACATCGCAGATGTACAACCAATGGAAATGCTTGTACCTGTCGTCGGTGTCGCATGCAATTTATTGTTCATTTGGGTACTTTTAACACCAGAGACAAACAAAGAACTCGTGTTTGTTAGGAATTATGAAAAGGGAAAAAAATTGTAGGCCTTGACCGCAGCATTTGACTGCATTTTGGAAAAGTTGAAATGTGCGTATTCTTTGATATAGCTTTAAGAGGGTATCAAAATTGAAAATTCTCAAAATTCGGACTAAGTGGTTTGCTTCCAACAGCAACGGTACAGTGTGCTCCTAGTGTGCTAAGGGCCTAACGTTGCCACAGGGCTCGCCATGTCGTTAGACGCTGCTTCAGTTGAGTGGGCCCTTAGAAGTTATTGCCTTTATCTCCGAAAAAATATATTTATTTTTGATGGTTCTGTTGACCTATTAAAATACCTTATCAAGGGTAAATAATAATATATTCATGTCAGCTTTCATGCGTCAATGAGCTGATGTGTGGTTGTGTCTGACCTGTATGTTTTTCCGTAAATAATCGGTAACGTCTTAGGGCTTTTTCACACATTGGATTCTCGTTCATCGAGTACAGACTCTTAAGCTTTTCAACAGAATAACAGTCATTATACGCATATGAAAGGCACGATGGATTCAGAGGAAAAAGAGAGGGAAAAGGAATAAAAGTAGGAGATTGAAGTGGCGCCTTACAACCATCCATCTATTCTTTTTGAAGTCAGGAGAGAAATAAAGGCACGGAAATAACGTCCGAATTGAAACTCAGATTCACAAGTCACTACAGGAAGACTACTACCAGCAGCGGAAAAGTACACCGTGAGAAAGCAGAAAATAATATTATGATTTTGCGAATGTCGGATTGCCACACTATTACAACGGATACGCGTGTAACCTGAACGCACAAAACTATTAATAGATTTATTGTTGTTTTTACTCTCCCATCAACAAAATTTAGATTAAGTAAGCCATTTACGGCACTAGCAACACAATTAGGTCATATGGGTGCCGAAGATTAGAGCTGTTACAAGAGAGTTTT